CCCGCTCATTTTGATTTTGCTTATTTATTTTACTTTTTTTTCAGGTCCTTCGTCCCCTGCCACTTATTCTTCGTTCTCCTTACACCTATTTTCTCAGTCACTGGATGGAATTCTTCCTTTAGCTTGAGGTCGTCTTTCTGGTTATGGTCATCAGCATCCCTCAATGCTCATCGCTTTAGCTGACCTCCTTATTCACCAAGACACCTTCTCTGGACCAGGATGTCCACGAGATGCAGGTCCCGGGGGCTAGGAATGACAGTATGTCTTTACACTTGCCCTGATTTTATAGTCCTCCTTTAGCACCAGCTGTTGGCAACTGCTGAGCACCAGATACGGGGCCAGGGGCACTTTCAGTTCGATCCACTGTAGCACAGGACATTGGGCAAAACAGCTTTTTCTTTGGAGCTATTTTTGCTACACTGTTCTTGTGCTTACTCCACCCGCATGTGCCCCATCACAAATCCAGTCTAATGTTCCTTTTCTGCTCCTAAGCCCTGCTGGTATTTATCAGTCCTGAGTTTTCCTTTCTCCCCACTCTCCATCACTATACTTTGCCTATGCTACTGACCCCACTTTTCTTGGGACACTACCACGCGCCCATCACCCTCTGTCTTTCTCTGGCACTCCTGGGAACAGGACTGGTGTCATGCCAGTCCTGTTCCCAACAAATAAAGGTTCCCCTATTACCCAGAGGAGTCTCTTCATCTCCTGGCCACAGAAATGCAGACCCTTGTCCCTCCAGTGGCCTCTCTACCTGGCTACCAGTACAGAGAGACAGCCTTTTGTGAGTACCTCTGCCAGGTACACGTGCCTCCACTTCCACTCCTGGGCTTCCTCACTGCTCCGCTTGACTTTTGCCAGTCTTTCTGCTCTATTAAACTGGACTGTCCTTCGTTGCATGTTGCCTTTGTCTCCTGTCCAAGCTCCTTCCCCTGCCTGCTTTCCTCTCTTACTTTCACTCCTGCATTGCTCTCCTCCTTTCCTCTCAGTATTGCTCACCTTTTTTTTCCTTGACTCCAGCTTTCATGTTAAAGACCCATCTGGATCATAAAATGTGTATTTCTGCACCCCCACTTTTTAATTTGACCTTCAGGGTTTGCCATCAAAATGGCATCAGCACCTACCTGACCTGGTCCACACCAAGAGGAGAATAGTTTAGCAAAACCAAATCCCTTACTTGGTTCATCCTCTCTGCTGGTTTTGACAGTCACCTGTGATCTCCTCCTCCTCTGACCCCTCTTAGCTCTCTTCCTGGCCCTCTTCCCGATTCCCTCATCATTCCTTTGTTGTGTTTTTGAGGGCTCCTTGTCATCCCCCACCCATCTTTCTGCATGCTCCCTACTCTGCTTCATTAATTAGTATGCAAAAAGGCATCACTAAGCCAGTTATCCATGTCTAAAACAGGTAACTAGTTTTTCATGTCACTATGTCTCTATCAATTATTTCACAGTCTCCTGTTTTTCTTGTGGTTTCCCTGTGTTTCACATTTAGTCTGTCTCCTGTATTTCCTTTGACAGAGACAGGTTCTCCTATCTACTCAGCAGGTCGCCCTTACTTTTCAGTTCCTATCTCCACTTCTCTATTGCATCTAGGATATTTTGACTTCCAAGGACGGTTCA